GTTCTCATATTCTTGTCTACTAATTCTATCATCCATTTCACTTCTGAGTCTGCCTTTTCCTTTTTAAGATGAAAAAAATTTAATTACTATTATCTCTTTTGGGGATAATTAGCAATCTTGAAAGTTGCACTAAACCATTTACAGGGTACCAGAAAATACAATCTTCAGAAAAGCTCTAAATATATTTAGTTCAATAGCATTCAATGTGGTATGGAATTAGGGATGATACCAGAAAACTTTGAAGGGCAAGAATTCAATCTCTCATGTCAACATAAACATTAGACACAAAATGTAATCTATATTTTCTATAATATAGATTTCTATAGATTATATAATCTATAAACCCACTGACTTCTTCCTCTATTTCCAAAGGGAATATTAAAAATGTTTGGGCCTGGATTAGACATTAGTGACTGAATACAATTGCATTTCCACAAATTTTTAAAATTTATTTAAATACCCAAATGTTAAAACAAAAACCCAGATTTATGTATATAGTTTTATTTACATAAACACAAAATTTCTATCAACTTTTTCAATTTCAGATGCACCACGTAGGCATACTGCCTCTAAAAGGTATTAAAAGAAATAAAAGCACACATATAGCTTACTTACTTGTTGTTAAAGCACTTTGTTTAAATCCTGTTCTCATCAAACTCTACCTAAAATAAGAATGGCTAACCCCATTATAAAGATTTGAAAAATGAAGCTGGCAAATGAATCCAAGACTTGAATTCCAAGGTCCTGGGTAACTCCTTGGGCAACATTTTTGCTAAGACCTAGCTGCCAGGGGTATAGAGGTCTTCATCACAGGGCTAACCTAATTAAAAATTCCTTCATTAACTAATAGTTAACATGGAATCTTGTCTAAGCCAGAGTGAGTCAAGAATCACTCAAGATTCATTTAGTACTTTTATAAAGAAAAAGGCCTAGATTCAAAGTCTGCCCTCATTAAGATTGTATTGCACCTGGGTTCTTGAAGACTAGATTCCTAATTAAGACTATGCTCCTAAGGCAGAATTCTGCTTGGTACCGTGCTTTCTCCCACTGGATGTTAGGGTCTCACAAAAACCCAACTGACAAATGATACTGCCCTCAAATGTGTGAAAAGTCACCCCAAACACCCATTCTAAGTTTCCTCCCAAATGAATGGCTGTGGACCTAATCTGTATCTTGTTGTATGAAGGAATACATTAGAAGTTCCCATCTTCATCTTGTCATGTTAGTAAGTCAGGTATTTAACCCAGGTAAGGGACTGGAGTTCCAGAGAGGTTAAGTAACTGGTCCAGTTAAAGAGCTGGTACTCAAACCTGGAAGTGATTCTGGAGCCGTGCTTCCTTCCTAAAAAGTAGAAAAGTAAACCACAGAAACTTTAAGAATAAAGTCGCAAATATACCAGATGTAATATCCAAAGCCTCAATATGTGTGTGCAGGTGTCTCTCTCTCTCTATATATATATCTACACACACACACACACACACACACACACACACACACACATATTTACCTGTAACATTTTGGGAAGGAGTGTCACTTTTCATAATCTCCTAGGTTTATGGTTTTAAATTGGAATATAACAGTTATACAATGGTGCACACAAATCATAAACATACAGCTCAGTGAATTTTCTGAAAAACTCAATACATCCATGTAACCAGCACAGTAGTGGCCCCTTTTGTGTCCTGTCCTTAAGTTTAGTTTCTAGGAGTGCCTGGGCGGTTCAGTTGGTTAGTGTCGGACTCTTGACTTTGACTCCGGTCTTGATCTCACGGTTCATAGGTGCAAGCCTCCTGTTTGGCTCTGTGATGACAGAATGGAGCCTGCTCTTTCTCTTCCTCTCTCTGTCCCTCCCCTGGTGGTGCACTCTCTCTCTGTCTCAAATAAATAGACTTTTAAAAAAAGTCTACTTTCCAAGGCAGGCTTTAGTACTGAGAATCAAACTTAGATGTCCACCAGAATCAACAGGGAAACAATGTTCATTTTCTGACTCAAAGACCCAAAAGAAAGAGATAGATTTTAAGGCTCAAGAAGTACATTTTAAAAAATTATCTTTATTTAGGTTTCTGATTCAGCACATGTATCAAAGACTAATCAACATAAAGAAGTAAATAAGACATTAATTGGAAGTCTTACATCTCTCTAAACTCTGACCAAGAATGTCAAGATTGCCACTATCACCAGAACTCCAACCTAGTCAAGTTGTAAACAAGCTATCATGAACAACATACAGTGTGCACGGAGATGCAAAGGCAAAAGACAATGCTAGCACTTGGCTCTCCTCTCTTCCTTGTTGATGTCTTTCTGTTTGACAGTCCGCTTTTGCTTTCCATGCTAAGTTCCAAATGAAGTCCAAAGGCTCAGGGTCAACCTGATCAAACACTCTTCCGGAGGAATGCATTCTTAAACTGTTGTGCCTGCAACTTTGTTTTTGCCAGGATGAAGTTCAGATCGAGATGTGCAATACAATCTCGATGACGGTGCAGACCAAGTCAAGAACTAAAGTTGAGCAGTAACTAGAGTTAAGGCATGAACGCGCACACACACACACACACGTGCACACACACAGCACCCACGCTATCCTGAATGCAGGATTGCTTCCACTGCCTAACGAGATACAACCAGAGCTTGGCAGTTAACAGTAACTGCTGAGGATTCTGGAAGATGCTCCTCATTTTATGTTAACAGCTGTGTGTGTATGTTTTTAAAAAAAATAGAAAAAAGAAAACAAGAAAAAAACAAAAACAAAAAAGAAACTAAAAACCCCTTAATCTCTTACAATGGCTCTTGAGCATGGAACTCATGTAGCAGCGTCAATGGCTGGTTCCTTAATAAATTTGGAAATAAAAGGTTGTTTTCACTATGTATTTCTTTGGTAGTTATCACTACAAAGTTTTCAGTGTTGGTTACCTATAAGACAAGTACTAGACAGAAGATCAAGTTACATAGAAATGATTCTTCTGTACTGGTAAGATAAAAATATTGCGTTCTCGAAGCACAGTTACTATGCTTTTTCTTGCCTTATTGGGCATCCTCTATAAGCAAGGCTTCGTGCAGGAAAAGTTCATGTCTACCTAACAAAGGGCGATACATACTCTATTTTCCTACAATTGAACAGTTAACAAAAATTCACATTATCAATTATCTCTGGTCAAATCAGTTAGAAGCCAATTACAAAGGGACAGCAGCACTTGGTGTCAAAGCCACATTCTGGTCATACATTCATTCCATGGTTGTGGTATCTCAGGAGCTCAGAATTTAAAACTCCTTTCAATTAACAAAGGAGCAAGTTAAATTAAACCTTAAATACTTCCACCCTCTGCCAAATTTCTAGAATTCTGTCCAGAATGCCAGCATGCTTGATGAGAGAAAGCAGTTCAGAGCCCAGAGAGGCGTCAGGTATTACAGAAGTTAATTTGGTTTTGTGTAAAAGGCAGGGTAGTCTGGCAACAGAGTACTTATCCTATGAGCAGCACAGTGGTAGCCGAGGGTCTCTGTCAGCAAGACAGGAAAAGGAAGCTACTGAAGCTACTGCTGTTCCCGCCTGCCTTCAGGACGGCTACGGGTTTTACAAAGGCCTTCGGGGCATCAGTCCAGTGTTACCCTGGGTGAGTGGGCAACAGGAATGGCAGGAACCATATTGAGCCCCTACGAAAAGAGCCTGAGGGAAGTCAGCTTCCCATGGGTGAGGGGACACCTGCCTCTATGGGCTTGGGGTCTGAATTTTATGGGTCCCTCAGATCTTAACAATCACTAAGAAATGGCCCAGGCAGGTGTACCATCCATGCATGACAGGCTCTACATGGGGTCAAAAACCCTTTAGAAGGACACAAAACAGCGTAAGTTCAAAATAGTAGTGTCTGTTCTCTCAATTCTGAAAGTCCGCAGGGAGAGGCAACAAGATTCATGTTTAAAAAGTGCTGTTTGAAGGAGCTGTGTTCTATTTCAAAAGGAACTGACTAGTCCAGGGGCACCAGCACTACATTTCTGCAAAGTCTGAGTATCAAGAACCTGTTTCTACAAGGCATTTGTCAGGAACGGTTTGCTCATGCCAAGTGCTTTCCGTTCACCCCACGGCAATGTCTGGACTAGTGTGCTTTCAGGAGGTAACTCAACGGACAGGAAGCAGAGGGAAGCTCGTTACTTTATGGACGTTCCGATGGGAGTGCAAGCTGCCATCCAACAGCATCGAATTCTATCATCTCACGAAAGATTCTTGTAAACACAGGCCATGCGTCTCCTAAGAGAAAAACCAAGAACTGTACCATGAAGGCAAAAGCTTGTTTGCCCCTTCTCAGAATTCCTCGGAATGGCAATGTACCGGGAGGGACAGCAGGGTGTTGGTGAGATCCCCGGGTTTGGTATGACCTCATCTGATCGAATTAAAAACCTAAAGCCTCAATAATTAAATGCCGAACTTCTTCCCCATATTTGAGAACTGCACTATGATTATGTATATTACGTACACGTTATAAATAACATTTATATAGACCAACTGGGGAGTGAAGTTCTCAGTCCAGGGGTGGAAGCAGGAAGAGGTGAAAAATCCTATTGTTGCTTTTACTCTCAAGTTCTTAAAATGCTAGTCAAACACTATTATCCAACAAGACTTGTTTCATTCTGTAATTCTTAAATATGCAATCGAAGGCAAAAATGGAAGCTTCTATACTGTACACTATTAAATATCTACAATGTCACGGTTCCTTATTTTTAGGAGTGTGTTCAATAAAGAGCTAGCTATTAGAGATGGTTGTCACAAAACAGGGACTCTTAAAAATTACTGATAAATTAATTTTCAGTTCTCTGATTATATCCAACAGGTACACATTCTCATCATAAAATATACATTCTCTAGTAAGTTATTTTCGTCCACAGCATATATAAATATGCAAACACAAGTGGTAAAAATCACTTTACTACCAAAGTACAAAACAATAACTGCCAAAAAGCAAAAAATAAAGATGTTGCAAGTATTAAGAAAAGAGTGACTCACAGTGTTCCACTTCAAAGTGAAACCAAACGATTTATTTGTGCTGAATGAATGGAAATAATGTATTCAGAGTATACTTCTTTGTACACTGCACTTGCTTATACTGAGCGACGTAAGCGGTCATCACTGCTAATGTGCTACTTTCTTCTACATTTCTTTTCTTTTCTGCCAAGCAATAAAGTATTCTGTGGCCATTATGCCAAGATATTCCTATAATGTTCATTTCAAATAGTATTTTCTAATATTTTGCACCTTTAAAATATTTGTTCAAACTCTATTTTAGGGGAACACAAAGAATGTATAGGGAAAATAGCTGTTTTTGTTACAATCACATTGCCCTCTGCAGCAGAAATCAAATAGCATGTTCTAACCAGCCATCAAAACCACTGGTGGGTAGGACAACATTTATCGACTCATGTTAGAGGGGCCGGTCTGGGTAGATTAACACTAAAGATAAGGAAGGAATCACACCTTAATCTACAATAATTATCCATCCCACGTGTATGTGGAAAAGGTACAGCCATGTGATCCATCACTTCGGCCTGCTTTACAAGAGACATGGATGTTGACATATACTGAAAATAACCTATAAAAAGTGTATCTGTAGAAAGCTCTATTAAAGAGTTTATGGTCTTGGGCACTGATCCATCTAACTTTCCACTCTACACTGAAAGCTAGATTTTCAAAGGTCTGAGTTGTAGTGCTGAATTATTAGATGTTTGGTAAACACCACTATAATGGGGGAGGGGGGCAGGGGTGGGGGTAACAGCTCAGTAATTTTCTGCAAATTTATGAAAAAAAAATATAAAAAAGATATCCCTTTTTATTTTACAAACCTAAAAGCCAGGAAAATGAAGCTCTGGGGCCAAGCAAAAATTGCACGCTGCTTCTGAATTACCAAATATTGACTAGCAGATGCTCCAGCCAGGGAATGGACGTACATGTAGATTCAAGTAAAACACTGATGGAAAAAGTCGTCTGTTTAGTGTTGTAGACCCACAACACTGGCTGCGTTTCCGACAAACACTTACAACACAATTAATAGTGAAGCCTAGATAACCTCAGTGCAAATAAGTCAGATCCAAATATGCCAGGGAAGGAAGCCTTTGGCGTCGAGGAGACGGCTCCACTGTACGAGTCCCACCGTGAGATGCAGACCAAGCACATGCATTAAGGCTGGGCGGAGGGGTGCCCCGGATGCTGCGAAGGGGCGGGCTGCGCGGGGGCCGCCGAGGGGGCCGCGGGCTGCATGGGCGGCGGAGGTGGAGGTGGAGGGGGTTGCACTGGGGTCTGTGTGTTGGGAGACGGAGGAGGCGTGGGCCGCTTGAATTTGTCAGGACTGTTGCTTCTCCGTGGGGAAGGCCTCTGTAGACAGGACAGAAACAGGAGGTCAGGCCTGGCCCGGCAGCTCCCTCCTAACACAGCCTGACAAGCGGGAACTAGGGAAACAGGGGAGCGATAAAGACCACAAACTAGCGACTTCCTGGTCTATCCCTACTGGTTTCTTAACTACTGATGAAAACTTAAACAAGGTGGAGTTTGCACCTACACTCACAAAAAGCTATGCACAATTACTATGAAACTTGCATTGACCAAACCACTGGACTTGGGCCCTTCCAGGAGACAGCCCTCAAATTAAAAAAATGCTGTCTCCTTCTCCACTTAAATCTCTTCTGTCCATTGTATATCCCCAAGTTACATCACTCAAGTAAGTTTTCAACTTCCTAAGGGCTACGGCTCAAATGTTTCTGCTTTTATGTAAACCCGTCACACCAATAAAAATGGCTTCAGGAATACCTTATTGCTTTTCCGGAATAAAAGTCTTCTTTTAAATATTCCCTTATTGGGCATACTTCTCTCCTATTCTCAAACCCGTTAGCTACATTTCCAACTGCTCTATTAGTCAACTAAATACCAGTTCTAAAGAAAAAACTCCCAAGTGAAGTTGAACCAAATGCACCTAAGGTTCCTTCTATTTCCACGGGAGAAAAGTCTGAGTGAAACTAGAACCAAAACTAATTTCAGAAAGAATACTGGGGATCAGTGAACTGTGAAGATGCAGACATCGTGGCAACCAGCAATGATTCGTTATGGCAAAGAGCCGGCCAGAATTTAATCGAGGCATTGGCCAGAGTTCAAATTACATTTCACAAAGGGCAATTTTTCACAGAAAGTGAAGCTGAAATTTTGTCTCCCAGGAAGGATTTTAGTTTCAACACCAGAATTTGGTATCAAACTACTGGAAGTCTCTGACGAGACTGGCGGTGGGAGGGAGAAGAAAGGTAAATATCTAAGGGCATTGGGCCTGGTCTCCCAAGGAGGTTCTGTTGCTACCAGCAGCAGCAGTAAAATGTGGCTACCTGCCCTCTGGCTACTTACTGTGATGCCATGGGATGCTCCCATGTGCTGCACATGAAGACCCGGGGAATTGTAGTAAGACATTCCGGCTCTAGTCAGTGAAGTTGGTGGCGTGAAGCCAACTGTGTGACTTGCATATGATAGACCTGAAATATGACAATAACAAGTATTATTTGAAACTCAATTATCTGCTGTCTTCAACCATCTAGTAGACTTTAAAATGCAAAAGTTCTGAGTCACCAATAAAAATGAACCCATATGAAAAGAGTGCTGGGCTCACTGAATGGCCTGCTGGGTCAAAGGGAAATAACAGTTGAGTCTTGGAACAGAACACAGTGCCCAGAGATAGGTCCACGCATAAACAGTCAAATAATCTTCAACAAAGGGGCCAAGAATTTGTAATGGGGAAAGTGTAGCCTCTTCAACAAATGGTACAGAGAAAACTGGATACCCAGATGCAAAAGAATGAAACTAGACCTATAAAGTCAACTCAAAATGGATGACTCAAACATAAAACCTGAAACTATAAAACTCTGAGAAGAAAACAGAGGAAAAGCTTCATGACATTGGTTTTAGCAATGATTTTTCAGATGTGACACTGAAAGCACAGCCACAAAAGCAGAAAATAGACAAGTGGGACTAAATCAAACTCAAAACCTTCCAGAGCAAAGGAAACAGTCAACAGAAAGGCAACCTACAGAATATGAGAAAATATTTACAAACCATGTATCAGATAAGAGATTAGTATTCAAAATATATAGAGAACTCCTACAGTCCCATATCAAATAAATAATCCAATTAAAAAATGGGCAAAGGACATGAGTAGACATTTCTCCAAAGACATAAAAATAGTCAAAGGCATATGAAAAGATGTTCAACATCATGCAACATTATCCACAATACCCAAGATATACAAACAACCTAAATGTCCATCAACAGATAAGTGAATAAAGAAAACATGGTATATACGTACAATGGAATATTACTCAGGCTTTAAAGTGAAAAAAATTCTTTTTAAGAAGAACATGGATGAACCTGAACCTGGAGGACATCACAGTAATATAAGCTAGTCAAAGAAGGGCAAATACTGCACAGTACCAATTATATTAGGTATCTAAGTCAAATCACAGGAGGAGAATACAGTGGTAGTTGTCAGGGGTTAGGAGTAGAAAAAAATAGAGAATTATTGCTCAACCAGCATAAAGTTTCAGTTATAGAAAAAGAATAAATTCTGGAGATCTACTGTACAACACTGTACCTATAGTTACAGTTTAGTAAGTGTTCTTATCCCAGTTAAAAAAACAAACAAAATCAGACCTTGTCAGAAGTCCAACTAAGATGTAGAGAAGTAGTGAAAAGACATGAGAAGAAATAAAAATCAAGTAGAAAAACAGAGCAAAGGGGTAAAAATGAGATGCAAGAAAAGAGAAGTGTCAAAAGAGACACCAACAATGAGACAGAACCTGTGTGTGTGTGTGTGTGTGTGTGTGTGTGTGTGTGTGTGTGTGTAGCTGTTATAAAGGCAAACAAACAAAAAAATCACTACTGAGAACTTTGCAACTTCAGGACACTCAGCAAATGAAGCCCTATATATGCCATTGTTCCCCCAGAGAAACTGATGTTTTGGGAGGAACAACCCCCAGCCCACTATCATGTTCTACACAGTATCCATCTAGGACCCTAGAATCATCTCCAAAGTATTGGGTTTGGGGTACAAACAGCTGAGTCTTTCCGATAGTCCAAAATGTTCATAGTAAGCAGCCCTGGTCTTAGCAACTTAGGCACTTCCAGTCCAGTGGTCTGGGGCATCACTTATTTATCAGTGAATAAATATAGCTATCTTTACACTTTTCAGTTCCGAGCATCTACCAGGGTATCTAGCACAGAGTACGTCCCATATGAATCAGTGGAGTAAAATGGAAACAAAGGGGCAATTTGGGGAGTTTGGACAGGACTCCCTATTTTTAATCACCTTGGCTTTGTTGTTTTATTTTATTTATTTAATTCCCATATACTTAATATACAGTGGTATATTAGTTTCAGGTATACACTGTAGTGATTCAACAACTCCACACATCACCCTGCGCTCATCATAACAACTGCACTCCTTAATCCATCACCTATTTCACCAATCCCCAACCAACCTCCCCTCTGATAACCATCCAGTTTGTTCTCTATAGTCTGTTTCTTGGGTTTTGTCTCTCTCTCCTCTTTTTTCCTTTGCTCATTTGTTTTGTTTCTTAAATTCCACATATAAGAGAAATCATATTGTATTTGTCTTTCTCTGATTTATTTCACTTAGCATTATACTCTCTTAAAACTATCCATATCGTTGCAAATGGCAAGATTTCATTCCTTTTTATGGCTGAATATTACATTGTGTGCGTGTGTGGACACGGGCTGTTTCCGTATCTTGACTATGGTAAATAAGGCTGCTATCAACATAGGGGTGCATGTACACATCTGAATTAATGTTTTTGTATTCTTGGGTAAATACTCAGTAGTACAATTACTGGATCATAGGGTAGTTTTACTTTTAACTTTCTGAGCAACTTCAATACTGTTTTCCACAGAAATTGTACCAGCTTGCATTCCCACCAACAGTAAAGAGGGTTCCTTTTTCTCTATATCCTCGCACCAAGACCTTTGATTTCTTGTGTTGTTGATTTTAGCCATTCTGATAGGTTTGATGTGACCACTCCTTGTAGTTTCTGATTCGCAATTGTTGTGCAACTCTGATAATGAGTGATGTTGATAATGAGTGATAATGAGTGCAACTCTGATAATGAGTGAAGACATGTTTACATGTCTGTTGGCCATGTGTATGTCTTCTCTGGAGAAATGTCTATTCATGTCTTCTACCCACTTTAAATTGGATTATTTGGTTTTTGGGTGTTGAGGGTTTTATTAATTAAACTTTATTTATTTATTTATTTTTGAGAGAGGGAGGAAGGGAGGGGCTGAGAGAGGGAAACATAGAATCTGAAGCAGGCTCCAGGCTCTGAGCTGTTAGCACAGAGACTGATGCAGGGCTTTAACTCACAAGCCATGATATCATGACCTGAGCAGAAGTCGGATTCTCAACCAACTGAGCCACCCAGGAGCCCCTGGGTGTTTTATTTAGTAAGTTCTTTATATACTTTGGATATTGGCCCTTTATTGCAAAGGTCATTTGCAAATATCTTCTCCCATTCAATAGGCTGCCTTTTAGCTTTGTGGTTTCCCTCATGTCGCAGAAGATTTTAATTTGAGGTAGTCCCAATAGTTTATTTTTGCTTTCATTTCCCTTGCCTCAGGAGATATATCTAGAAAGAAGTTGCTCTTGCCAATATCTGAAACATTATTGCCTATGCTCTCTTCTAGGATTTCTATGGTTTCAGGTTTTTAATCCATCTTGAATTGATTTTGGTGTATGGTGTAAGTAAATGGTCCAGTTTCATTCTTTTGCATGTAGCTATCCAATGTTCCCAACACTATTTGTTGAAGAGACTTTTTCCCATTGGATATTCTTTCCTGCTGTGTTGAAGATTAGCTGACCATATCACTGTGGGTTTACTTCTTCTGGGTTTTCTAATCTGTTCCATAGATCCATGTGTCTACTTTGGGGCCAGTACTATACTGTTTTGATTACTACAGCTTTAGAATACAACTTAGAAGTTGGAACTATGATGCCTCCAGCTTTGCTTTTCTTTCTCAGATTTGCTTTGGCTAAAAAATATGGACACTTCAAATCTGCATGTCATCCTTGTGCCGGGGGCATGCTAATCTCTGGATCATTCCAATTTTAGTATATGTGCTGCTGAAACATGTGCTATTTTCAATCACTTTGAATCTAAGATCAGCCAATGGATGCCAAGCAACATAAACTCCACTTAACCTCTTTTCTGAATTACACAAAAACAAGAAGCTGTTAAGGATGCTTTTCTTTTGGCTCTCATGGCTGAGACATGCAGCCACCAAGCCTACCTTTAGTTGTCTTGTCCCAGATTTTTTTGTGCCCTCAATACCTAAAGTCAAGGGTTTATTTTATTTCTTGGCTTGACTATCAATTAGTGCCTTCTACTTGACATGTTTCTATTCCATTTGTGGATTTTGGGTTGACATTTACAAAATGGAGGGCTGGAGTAAAGTATAAGCCTTTGGAAACTAAGTGGTCATGATTATTTTTACCACAAGGACTTGTTAGGCTGGAGGAGGAAAAGATAAGTTTTATTTAAACACTAATTCTGTTTCTTATGCAAGTGATGAAATTTAAGAGATAAGCTATGAAAGCAGATCCTTATCTCAAGACAGAGAAGCTCGTAATAATAATAAAAAACATGCAGCCTATTTTGTAGCATTGCAAGGTTATTGGTACGTTAAACACTAGTCAAGAATCATCAAAGACTCCCTATTATTTACCTAAATTGAAGAAAAAAGAATCACTTTTCTAGCTATTATAAAGGCCTCTGCGCTTGGCTCCAAACTACCTCTTGAGTATCAAAGCCCTTGCCCAGTCTCATATCAAATGAAATCACAATCCATGGGAGCAGGACCCAGGGCAGCCAGTGCTAAGAGCCACAGTGACCTTATCACTCTGGATTCTCACCTCTACTGCTCAGTTCACACCATGCCCTTTGCCTGGGATGTCTTCTCTGTACCTTCTCCCATGTCAGTCAGGACCTCGATCAGCCTCTGAAGAGGCAAAAACAGCCCAGACCCCAGAGCCAACTGTCATATTAGCTCAAGCTCTAGTTCTGCCTCTTGGCACTGAGTGACAGTGGACTTCGGATCCATCAACTGTAAAATGAGATTACTGTAGTGGCCTCACAAGGTTGCTGTGGGGATGAAATGAGTAAATATCACAAAGTGCTCAGAGTGCCTGGCCAACTATGGGCTCATTAAGCCTCAGCTCATTAAGCTCCTTTAAGGCTCATCTCAAAAGTGCTCTAAGCTGGTAGCTCTCTCTTTGTTTAATATCTTCTTAAACTATTTAGCTTTTTTTTTTCAATTATAACTTTTACTTTGAAACCATTTACCGCCCACATGAAGCTGCACACACACTACAGGGGTCCCATGGACCCTGCATCCAGCCTCCTCAGGAACATCTTCCATAAGCACAGCACAGTGTCAACCCAGAACATGGACACAGATCCACCACTAGTGC